GCGGCTCCGGATTCGCATGCGGCTCTTTAGTCTTCATACTGCGGCTCCAAGTGGTTTGGAAAAAAATTATAAGTATTTAACTGAAGTGTATTTTATTTGTGTTAGTTCTTTTTAAACTTGTAGTTCTAAATTGGAAGATTATTGTGATCTTGAAATACAAAAATAAAATTATATGTTTTATATGATCTCGGACATGTGAAAAAAGTATGTCCTTTTTGACCACAAATTCACTTTCATTTTGACATATTTTAGCTTTATGTCCCAGATTTCCGCATCGTGGGACATTCTTTTACTTGATGATCAGAAGCCTGGCAAATAAAGCATTTAGCCGCTTGGATAGATAACACGACCATTGTACGGGCCCAGAGAGATGGAATTGGGGATATGGATGAAATGTCCATCTTCATCTCTCCGAAGACGAACTTTAAACTTCCGAACCCATAATTTGTCCCTCGGTTTAATAGGTGGATGTAACACCTCACGATATCTTTTCAAATATAAGTCGATGCCATGATCAGGGATTCTTCCTGTCCAGAATTTGACCACAAGGGTGGTCATTTCAATTTGAAGAGATGATTCTACTGTCCACTCTTTCCATTTTGGTTGGCCAGAGTTTGAAGCAACAATCTCCATGAAACATCGAAGAGGAGCTTCCTGGAAAAAACACAGTTCAAAGTCCCTTCTGTTTGGGAGAGAGATGAAAGAGTAAATGTCCGAGGATTCACCCAAGAGGACTGAAAAAGCAATTCCTCCGCAACATAATTTCTAGTGGGAAGTTCTCCTTCTCCAACATATTTCAATCTGACTCATAAATTGCCAAACTTGGAGGCATAGGGTGCAGGAGTATAGGGCGGCATGATAGATTCTGAGACAGGGCACAGTAGGAGCAGATGGGCAAGGATAAACTAAGAGTTCCCTCCCTTACCCCTTCCACTCGTTTTGGCTGTTCAGAAACGAAAGGAACAAACTTCCTTACTAGACCCCCACCGTCTGTCTTACTGTATGAGTGTGAGACATGCTACAATCCAGTGGCACCAAGGCATTATACAATAAAATAATGTGATTAATACATAAATAAAAGAAATTCCTATACACGTATTTCATCGTAATTATTGTTATTTAACTCTGTCATGCATGAATTATGACAACCTCAATCAGGATTTTTTCTTAAGTATTTTTATTAATCTTTTCATGCCAGAATAAAAATACTTAAGAAAAAAATCCTGATTGAGGTTGTCATAATTCATGCATGAAAGGGTTAAGCATTTACCTTAGCAATGCTTACTAGTGTCACATTATAAAGTCTTACCTTTATTTTAAAGCTTTAGTTACTTATTCGTTTGCATATTAATTATTATATATCAAGCTGCAACATATAGGGAAGTAGCTCATCATCCCCTGGACCTTAGCTCTTTCACTCACTAATCACTAATGTCAATTGTCAACATGTATCAGCCTGAACATTTGATATTCAATTCAATTCAATTCAATTCAATTTTATTTATATAGCGCCAAATCACAACATAAGTCGCCTCAAGGCGATTCATAGATACAGAGAAAAACCCAACAATCATATGACCCCCTATGAGCAGCACTTTGGCAACAGTGGGAAGGAAAAACTCCCTTTTAACAGGAAGAAACATCCGGCAGAACCAGGCTCAGGGAGGGGCGGGGCCACCTGCTGTGATTGGTTGAGAAGGAAGACAGGATAAAGACATGCTGTGGAAGAGAGACAGAGGTTAATAACAGATATGATTCAATGCAGAGAGGTCTGTTAACACATAGTGAGTGAGAAAGGTGACTGGAAAGGAAAAACTCAATGCATCATGGGAATCCCCGGCAGCCTACGTCTATTGCAGCATAACTAAGGGAGGATTCAGGGTCACCTGGTCCAGCCCTAACTATATGCTTTAGCAAAAAGGAAAGTTTGAAGCCTAATCTTGAAAGTAGAGATAGCGTCTGTCTCCTGAATCCAAACTGGAAGCTGGTTCCACAGAAGAGGGGCCTGAAAACTGAAGGCTCTGCCTCCCATTCTACTTTTAAATATTCTAGGAACAACAAGTAGGCCTGCAGAGCGAGAGCGAAGTGCTCTAATAGGGTGATATGGTACTACAAGGTCATTAAGATAAGATGGGGCCTGATTATTTAAGACCTTGTATGTGAGGAGCAGGATTTTGAATTGTGGATTTAACAGGAAGCCAAAACAGGAGAAATCTGCTCTCTCTTTCTAGTCCCTGTCAGGACTCTTGCTGCAGCATTTTGGATCAGCTGAAGGCTTTTCAGTGAGTTTTTTGGACATCCTGATAATAATGAATTACAGTCGTCCAGCCTGGAAGTAATAAATGCATGAACTAGTTTTTCAGTGTCACTCTGAGACAGGATATTTCTAACTTTAGAGATGTTGCACAAATGGAAGAAAGCAGTCTTACATATTTGTTTAATATGTGCATTGAAGGACATGTCCTGGTCAAAAATGACTCCAAGGTTCCTCACAGCGTTACTGGAGGCCAAGGTAATGCCATCCAGAGTAAGAATCTGGTTAGATACCATATTTCTAAGCTTTTCAGGGCCGAGTACAATAACCTCAGTTTTAGCTGAATTAAGAAGCAGAAAGTTAGCGGCCATCCAGGTCTTTATGTCTTTAAGATATTCCTGCAGTTTAACTCATTGGTGTGTGTTATCTGGCTTCATGGACAGATAGAGCTGGGTGTCATCTGCATAGCAGTGTAAATGTATGCTATGTCTTCTAATGATGCTGCCTAAGGGAAGCATGTATAATGTAAACAGAATTGGTCCTAGCACTGAACCCTGTGGAACTCCATAATTAACCTCAGTGTGTGAAGAGGACTCTCCATTTACATGCACAAACTGGAGTCTATTAGATAGATATGATACAAACCACGGCAGTGCAGTACCTGTAATACCTACAGCATGTTCTAATCGCTCTAATAGGATATTATGGTCGACAGTATCGAACGCTGCACTGAGGTCTAGCAGGACAAGCACAGAGATGAGTCCACTGTCAGAGGCCATAAGAAGATCATTTGTAACCTTCACTAAAGCTGTTTCTGTGCTGTGATGAGCTCTGAAACCTGACTGAAACTCTTCAAATAAGCCTCTGCAGATGATCTGTTAGCTGTTTGACAACTACTCTTTCAAGGATGTTTGATATAAAGGAAGGTTGGAGATTGGCCTATAACTAGCTAAGACTGCTGGGTCTAGAGATGCTTTTTGAGTAAAGGTTTAACTACAGCCAGCTTGAAGGCCTGTGGTACATAGCCGATCATTAGAGATAGGTTGATCATATTTAAGATTGAAGAATTAATTAATGGCAGGACTTCTTTGAGCAGTTTTGTAGGAATGGGGTCTAAAAGACACGTTGATAGTTTGGAGGAAGTAATTATTGAAGCTAACTCAGAAAGATCAATTGGAGAAAAAGAGTCTAACTTAACATCAATGGTACTAAGAGTAGCTGTAGATAATATTACATCTGTGGGATGATTACTGGTAATTTTTCTCTAATGATAAAAATTTTATTTGTGAAGAAGTTCATGAAGTCATTACTAGTTAACGTTAAAGGGATGGTTGGCTCAACAGAGCTCTGACTGTTTGTCAGCCTGGCTACAGAGCTGAAGAGAAACCTGGGGTTGTTCTTATTTACCTCAATCAGTGACGAATAGTAAGATGTTCTGGCTTTGCGGAGGGCTTTCTTATAAAGCAACAAACTATTTCTCCAGGCTAAATGATGATCCTCTAAATTTGTGACACGCCATTTCCTCTCCAGCTTACGAGTCATCTGCTTTAGGCTACGTGTTTGAGAATTATACCACGGAGTCAGGTACTTCTGATTAGAGACCTTAGTTTTCACAGGAGCTACAGTATCCAGAGTCGTACGTAGTGAGGAGGTGAAATTATTAACAAGATAATCGACCTCTGTTGGAGTAGTGTTCAGATAGCTGCTCATCTCTGTGTTGGTACAGGGCATTGAAGATGATAACAGTGGGTGGATTATATTCTTAAACTTAGTTACAGCGCTTTCAGAAAGACGTCTACTGTGATAAAGTCTACTCTCCACCGCTGTGTAATCAATTATTGTAAATGTAAATGTTATCCATCAAGACTATCAAGGTTAAACTCTTTGTGCATGAGAAAGCCTTACTATGCCTTCAAGAATAACAACATATTGTTAAGAATATTGTGAGGCATTGAACCACAGGAATTGGTCTGTCCACCCACAGAACTACTATTCTGTATGGTCTCTCAGGAGCTGTGTGATGTCTCCTGTGGACCCCAAGTAGCCTTAGTGATGGAAATGATGGTATGATTATTCCTCACTAAGTACTCTGATCTAATAGGATAATCAAAAGATTCCCACTGACAGTTCCAGGATTTGTAATGTGGATAGCAGGATAAACTGAAGCAAATAAACAATAAACACAATGTGATTAAAATAGATCTGCAAATCATGCCATTAGAATAAATTACTACTAATAATTCAAATCTGGCCAATTACACCTTCAACTTTTATTAAAACCCAGCAATTCATTATCTTCCACCTACCATAGGCCAACAGGCAGCATTCACCCTGGACAGGTTGCCAGTCTAAGCTAACACAGACAGACAGACAACCAGAATTTGGGAATTTAGAATTAAAATAACCCAGCTCCACTAACTGCATGTCTTTGGATTGTGTGAGGAAGATGGAGTACCCAGAGAGAACCCATGTAATAACAGGAAGAACATGCAAACTCCACACAAGAAGACCAGATGGTGGATATGAACTCATTGGGCAGGCGTGCGGCCCCCTATTGAGACCTGATTAGCAAACGGAATCATTTTTACAGGAAAAGGAGGACTCCCAAACTTCTGGGTAAACATTAAACATTAAAAACAGAAACATTCCACCACATGACTGCAGCTTTATATCTCTGGATGAAAGGTGAAAACAGAGTTTGTTTGTTTTTTAAAATCAACATATGACACCACTCTCCTGAGCTGTCATGACTTTATTCATTTCAGGGTTTTCAAAAACAAAAAAACAAACACACACCCTCCCCCCCAAAAATGTAAGCAGCACTACATACACCTATACACATGAACTATTGTTTGGATCAAACATATCAAACCACTAAAAAAAACAAGATAAATCAGAGCAAATAGAACAAAAACAGGAAACCAAATCATTGGGATAGCAAACTGTACACATAAGATTGTCAACATGTCCTCTTATTGCTGTTTGCTACAGCCGAACTTTACTTGCTTCAGACCCTTTTACTTTTGCGCACTTTGTAAATGCAAATTTATGATGAAACAATGTATTTGTAAGACAAAATAAAAATGTATTTGTGAATCCTTAATTCATTCCTTTGTGTAAGCAGTTGGTCTTCATGAGTTTCAGCCAGTTAAAAGCCTGGTTTAAGTCTTCAGCTTGTTTTAGTTAACTGGTTGGGTTAAAATAACATTAGTTGAACTCATTCAAACATTTCTAAGCATTAGGTGATGAATAAATATAACTGAAAATCTATCATTTCATCAATTATAGTGTAAATCTATAATCTGTAAAAAAGGAGAGCAGTCTGAATATTTAAAGTGATTGTATGTCTATCATTTTAAAGTTACTGCTACGTTGCATAACACATTTTTGTCAGAGCTACATGAAAACACATTTAATTGTGTTTAGTAACAAAACTCTAGCGACTCTACAATAAAATCAGGGAAGGGGGAAGTTGCCTACAGAACTGTTATAACCACAACTTCCAACCTAAAATATATTTATATTTCCAAGAAGTATGTTCCAAATGGCATGTCCACAGTAGCATGGCAATTATCAGCAAAAGAGCTTAGCCATCTGACCATGATCACAATAAAAGCCAAAGAATAAGGGTATTCCTCACTAACCATTATGCCCTGAATCACCTTTTTACATGCATGTATAATAAGCTCAACATAAAGAAAAAAAAATTACAACTATAATCACGAGGTGTACAGTAAGTGTACATCAAATACACCACTTTGTCTACAGTACATACAAAAAATAACGTTTCTGAGCAAAAACATGAACCCCAGCAGGATCTTTAAATATGTAAACACGAAATAAGAAACAGTGTGTATAAAATACTATACAGGTGCTGTAAGTCTGAAGATACTCCAGTTATCTTTTTTTCTGTCCTTTTCTCAGTCCTTTTTTCTGGGGAAATAAAAGGATAGAGAGCCTTTTCTTCGGAGGAGTCCATTGGATTTCTTTCCCACAGCACAACCGTAATGCCCACATGATGTTCATTTGGACCTAACATGCTAGTAAATAAAGTAGTCTTTGCAGATGTACAGTGGGCCTCAGTCCTTTCTTTGGCACAGCCATTGCAGTCTTTACGTGAGCAAGTCAGTTTCTTTTTTGACATTCATCTTCTGAGTCGAGATGTCTCAAAAACCGCTGAAACGAGTATATTTATGTGTATATGTACTTGTATTACCCCGCTGCTGGCAATTTTGGTGTGAAAATAAGAATATAAAGATGTACTGGTGACTGACACAAAACAGCTCAGACTGGTTGGTTGGTATATCATAGTAAAATGTCAAACAGCCGTCTAGCAGTCTGGACACTGCAAAACAAAAAGAAAAACAAACAAAACAAACAAATAAAATGCTACTTAGAAAATAAATAAGTAAGTATTAGTCCCAGCAACACATTTTCTCCATCCTTTAAATATCAACCTGTATTTACTCATCAGTGTCAAAACACTTTCTACTTTCATACTTCAGTTTCTTAGTTCTGAGTGCACTGGATCCTGTTGGGGGGCCCTAGAGCAGGGAACTGGTGGGGCTGCCGGGCAGTGGGGGACTGCAGCTGTTCAGGGTGAGGCTGTGGCTGTGGGAGGGGCTGGGGCGCATTGGCAGCAGGTCGTAGTGGCTCGGGATGTGGCTGTTCCTGGGGAGGTCGTATGGGTTCTGAGGGTAACTGGGAACCACTGCAGCACCACTTGCCGGCACAATACTTATGGTTGGTTCTGGGGGAACAAAAACCAAGAGAGTGGGACTTTTATTTCATTTATATAATTTACACAATCCGGTTGTTCAGTCTGACGTCACTAGCCGTGTCTGGACCTAAACGCCGCTGCAGGTCCATATATCAAACGATCACTATGGCATTACTGAGAGTTGAAAAACTGTCTAAAGTCTTTCATCTTTAATAAAATGATCAGCGTTCTGCTCTACCAGGTGTAACAATTGAGTTTAACATCCAGGCATCCATGAAAACGGAATTTATGACATTTAACGGAGTTAGAAGTTAGCAGGAAGTTAGCTCGCTAGCTTCTACCTAAATACAATATAGCATGTCCTGACTGCGGGGTTTTGGAAACAAATTAAACGTACAGCTCTGCTATCACTTCCAGCATAAATGAAGACAGAAAACTAAACAGCAGTGACGTTTGTAGGGTTACTGAAGTTGGGCTAGTTGGTATATAATGATGTGCTACGTGACCGCTAGCGACACAGCTATGTTAGCATAATATAAACAAGCTAACTTTTTTTCCACTCGATAAAAGTTAACGTGAGTGTTCTCGGTGATCAGGAACAAATGTAATCGCATGGCAGGATGCTGTAAAAGGACCAAACTTCATCCAGGAGAACAACTGAGATAATCCATCCACAATACGAGGTTAGTCATTCATATACTGCTGCATGGGCTGGGCTGTAGTTACATCCTAAGGTTTTAAAAACTGAGCTTAAATAAATGATTAGCGGTAATAAAAGCTGAGGGAGGTCAACAGTGATCACTGACTGTTTTAGGAGCTTTTTGAGATCAAATAGAAGAAAATACAAAACATTAAACATGTTAACAACACAAAAGCCATATTAAACGCAGACTACTTTAACCTACTACTTTAACTTTAACCTTAGTTAAAACCATAAATTTTCACTGTTATGCCGATGACACCCAGCTCTACCTTTCTTCTAAACCCAATTCATCCCTCCCACCTACCTCCCTCTCAGACTGTCTTATTGAGATTAGATCCTGGTTCTCCTCCAATTTCCTCAAACTTAACAGTAATAAAACTGAAGTTTTACTTGTTGGTTCACCATCTATCTTAACCAAATCCCACAGCTTTTCCATTAACATTGAAAATTCTCCCACCCTCCCCTCCCCTCAGGTTAAGAGTTTGGGTGTCATACTTGATAATACTCTTTCATTCCAGTCTCACATTAATTACATAACCCGGTCTGCTTCCTTCCATTTACGTAATATTCACTGACTCCGTCCCTTCCTTACTCCCCATGCTGCTGCCATCCTTGTCCATAGTCTTATTACGTCCCGTATTGATTACTGCAATTCCCTCCTATTTGGTCTCCCTAAAAGGTCCCTTCATAAACTTCAACTTCTTCAAAATTCTGCAGCTTGGATTATAACCCGTACTCCGTTAAGTGCTCATATTACCACAGTTCTTCAGCAGCTTCACTGGTTGCCCATAGAAGCCAGGATAAATTTTAAAATCTTACTTCTTGCATACAAGTGTGTCCATAAATCTGCTCCTTCATATTTGTGTGACCTGCTCCATATCACCACTGTTTCCCGCACTCTCAGATCATCATCTGCTATTCATCTTTCTGTTCCATCCTCGCACCTTATTACTATGGGGAACAGAGCTTTCAGTCGCTCTGCTCCTCGGCTCTGGAACTCTCTTCCTCCTGCACTAAGAAATATTGACTCCCTCTCCGTATTTAAGACTCAGCTCAAAACACATCTGTTTAAACTGGCTTATTCGCTTTAATGCTGATTTTATCTGTTGTCACGCTCTGTTTTGTAATTTTAACTTATTTTATGTATTTTATGACTATTGTTCCTTTTATTAATTGTGTTTTTTGTAAGGTGACCTTGGGTTTCTGAAAGGCGCCCTCAAATAAAATGTATTATTATTATTATTATTACTTTAGGCCTGGAATTAGGATTCGTCGCGTCATCACTGAACAACCAGATACAATGCTGTTGTCAACAAAGAAAATAAGTTTTCTTCTGCCTTATTTCAATCAAGTCCAAACTTAGTAAAATGTACTACAGGCATCAAATTCAAACACTTGAACCACAGAGTGTCATAATTCTGTGATAATGTCATGATCCCCCTGGTGTCTGGCCCCATTCCAGATTGCTTGAAAACAGCCAGTGTCTTTCCTTGTTAGATCCCACTGTTTTTATAATTATAGACCAATTTCCAAACTCCTGTTTATTTTCAAAATCCTTGAGAAAGTTGTTGTTCTTCAGCTCCTTCAAATTATTGTAGGAAACATCTTTGATAAATTCTCTTGTGGTTACAGATAAAACCACAGCACTAAAACAGCTTTACTGAAAATGATATTGTAATGCACTCAGATAAAGGTGAGCATTCCATTCAAGTTCTGCTCGACTGATCTGTAGCCTTTGATACTGTTGATCAAGCTACTTATTAACAGACTACAAAACTGGGTTGGCACCACTGGTACTGCCCTCAGATGGTTTTCTTCATACTTATCAAACAGATACTTCAGAATTTCTATTAATCAGTGTATGCATTCATCTGTACTGCTTGCATGTGGAGTCCCCCAGGGCTCAATCCTTGGACCAATTCAGTTTTTTTTAATATATGTTACTCCTGGGCCATCTCATTAATGGGTTTAGTTTAATGTAGATGACACACGGTTTTGACATACCCTTCTGTCAAACCCAACAACCTTAACAGCTTCCCCTGCCTCAACAAACGTTTCTCTGCCATTACTAATTGGATATGCTCTAACTTCCTCCATCGCAATTCTGGTAAAACTGAGGTTCTAGCACACGGCCAAGACACATTCTCCAAGGAGGTTAGTCAGTACATTAGCCCATGCAATCCTCCATAACCACAACTGTGCATTAATGTACAAGGATTACCTATAAGTCTGCTGATTGCTGATTGGTTGACAAGTGGGCTGGAAAAGGGAAGGGAGCAAAAGTGAAGATCACTAGGAGCAAAAAAACTTCAAAAATAAAAATATGTCTGTGAAGGTTCTCAGTCATCCAGGTCATCGTAGTCAAAGGAGCTTGCAAAGAAAAGCGTCTGGACTTCTTTAAGTTGCTTGAAGACGTTTCACCTCTCATCCGAGAAGCTTCTTCAGTTCTAAGGTCAAATGGTGGAGAGTCCCAGATATAAACCTAGTGGGAGTTTCCCCCCACAGAGGGACAAAGGACCCCCTGATGATCCTCTAATCGCCTGAGCCAAGGTGTGAAACTGGGTGTGGGTCCCAATCAGCCAGAGTTTCGGGTGAACTCGTTGTGAAACCTGGCCCCACCTTATCATGCGAATTCCTTAAAAATACTTGAAAGCACATGGTTCAGTTCCACCTGCTGAACTATACATTTTTCTGTGATCTAGTTTTATTAGTGTAGTGCGGTGACTCGTACAGAAAGGATAGCAAAGATGCTGTTTGTTGGGCTGCAAGATGCTAATTAAGCAATGAAAAAAATGGCAATACTCACTATGTTTTAATAGACTTCTCTGGACTGAATCATACGTGTTATTAACCTCTGTCTCTCTTCCACAGCATGTCTTTATCCTGTCTTCCTTCTCTCACCCCAACCAGTCACAGCAGATGCCCCCCCCCCCTCCCTGAGCCTGGTTGTGCTGGAGGTTTCTTCCTGTTAAAAGGGAGTTTTTCCTTCCCACTGTCGCCAAAGTGCTTGCTCATAGGAGGTCATATGATTGTTGGGTTTTGTCTGTATATATTATTGTAGAGTCTACCTTTTGGAGATTAAGTATTGGAATTTCAGTAGCGGGACCACACCTCCAAACACGCTCCTTCCGGTTCTCATCTCTATAGGTTCCCCCAGTTCTGCGAGCTGTTCATTCTCGTTTACATGCCCCGCCTTCCGTCCCTCCTTTTTTTCAATTCTTTAACTTCTTCACTTCTATTTAGTACATGGGGATCTGCCAGGCCCGGGAGCCGTCACCAGTCCCCTTCAAGGCCTTGAAACCGCCGCTCGATTCATGTTCAAGCATTCACCTTTATCTACTAAAACCTAAATCGAGGACGTGGGCCCAGCTAGTGAAACAATATAAAGTGCCTTGTGGTGACTGTTGTGATTTGGCGCTATATAAATAAAATTGAATTGAACTGAATTGAATTGACTGACAACCTGACATGACATCAGATGCTGTAGGCTAAATTTTTGCTTAGTGTGCCTTTCACTCAACAGATATCTACACTTACAGACCACGTCATCAGTTACACCATCCCAGTCCTGGGCTGGACCCTTTGCCTTAAAATGGCTTAAATTCTCTGTGTATAGCTTTAAGAAGCTGCTGAAAAGGTAAATTTTAACATAACAGCGTGACATCGTTACATACCATGCTTTCTCTACATCAACTCTGTCTATCTAACATTGCCTCTGCATTGCCAATGCTGCTTCTCCACTTTATTCATCAATGATTGTGCTTTCCACATGATAAGAAAGGCCAGATGCAGCTTATAACTTGTGCTTTCTCCAATACTCTCTGCTGTCATCTCTCTGTTTCTTCTTCTGTCCACCTCTGCATTCTCTGTATTTTTCTCTCAAGATTTCAACTGGAATCTCCACTGTTCTAGCCAACAAAGTGGTCAGCTTCAGGGCAATCAGCTATTCTCTGAACTAAACAATGAGCGCAGCCTAATGTTGTTGCACTGCAGTCCATTGTCTAAAAGAAAAAAGTATTCCCAAAGGAAAAGACAAAGCAAAACTAGGGGGAAAAATCAAGAAAAAGAACAAGAGTAAGTTAAAAAATACCTGCAACAGGATGCACACAGGCTGAAACATGAGCACATATTGGACATAGGCAGGCTGCGTGGTTTGAACAATGGTAAAGTGGTCCAAAGGGGCCGTAGGTCTGACCAGAAAATATCCCCCACACTAGTACACTGCCAGGAGCCTGAACTGTTGATACAAGGCATGATGGATCCCTGCTTTCATGCTGTTTACTGATGCTGCTGTCTGAATATTGCAGCAGAAAGTGAGACTCAGCAATGTTTTTCCAGTTTTCTGTCCCCTGATTTTGGTGAGAACTGCATCCACAGTTTCATCTTTTTAGTTGACAGGATTGGCACCATTTCTGCCATGTGATTGGCTGATTAAATATTTGTGTTTAAAAGCAATAGAACGGGTGTATCTAATGAAGTGGCCGGAGAGTATACTTTAGTACAAAACAGTAAAACTAATCACAATAGTGGAATTATTAATGCAAACCTGGGGTTATATTATTCAGCCATACAAACACTGTGCTAATGGAACTCCACCTGCACCTCTGTTTGCTCTGCATGTGCACTTTGACTGTGTATCTCAAATGTGCCTAAAAATGTTCTTATTAACCGAAAACAGGAGACAAATGTAAAACACTGCAAATGTACCCATGTTGTAGACATTCTTGGCAGGCACAGTGGTGGTTGTAGTCGTACTGATGATGGCAGCAGAACAGCAGTGTGCCGTGTGTTCATGGTGTGCTGGTGATTTCATCTCCACGTAGCTGCTCTCTGAGTGCTTACATAGGCTGGGATTGTCGGTTATGGTGGCGTACGGGTTTTCACTGTTGAGGGAACAGGTGCTGGACAACGAACTCTTCACATAGTCTAAGGAAAGAGTGAGACACAGAGTGTTTAATCTTGTGTGGTATGACATTATTCAATGCTTAATTAATTAAAAAATAAAAAAAAGCTTCTTCAAAAAGCTGTTTTTTAAAAAAAAATCATTTTTGATGATTTTAACCCAGCAGCACTCCAGCTTTTCATAAAATGATTTTTTGTGTGTGTGTCAAATCAGAAAGACGACTCTCTGCAGCTATTTCCTGCATCCCTGGTCATTATTTTAGATACCATAGTGACCAAATTCTCCTTGGATAACTGATCACATCATGTACTGTTAAAAGAAAATGAGACACTTCACAGTGGTAAACACGTCTCTGTCACAACCTTTTTGATATATGTGTTGCTGCCATCAAATAAAAATGCTGCAATATTTTTCTTATAATATTATTTTATTTTTCAGTTTAATATTTGATATTTTTTTCCTAGGTTCTACTGTGAATAATATATTGATTTCTTAGATTTGAAACTCATTCTATTTTGATTTACACTCTATATAGTGTCAGCTTTTTGGAATTCAGATGGTAAAAATATTAATTTGCATAAGAAAAACACTTTAATTTTTAAATTGCCATTGCTTAGGTTGCATTTCAAGACATTAGATGGCTGGAAATGTCCTAGTCTAATCCATGGACCTTATAGTGAGATATGCAGGTATTCTGTTCACCTTTTTGCTCAGTGTAAAGTAACTGAAGAGGGAAACAGACCAGAGTCAAACTCTAAAATGAGAAGCTGAGTGTGCCTGTATGGAGCTGTGCATCTCCTCTATAGCAACAGAGTGAGAGACGTTCAGTCCTTTTTAAAGCAATGAAAACATGTGTTAAGTAGGAGCGACAAAGAATTTAAAATAATCTGTATTCCTCTCTAAAATCAATACATATTCTGTGTAGTCTTTTAGTTGGATTTGTTGTAAAGAACAAAAAAGCTGAGGAGTTTTCCTTTAGGAAACATGGATGTTAGAGTCTGCATTGGAACACTTGACACCAAAGATTACATTTTAACACCAACATCAGCACTCAAGGGCAGCTGAGGTTAAAACCTGCAGATAAAGGAAATGTAAATCAAGGCACAAAGAGAGCATTCAGTTATAGAGAAGGAGAATTCTGTTTCCAAGGGGAGTTTTGGGGCTGATGAGGGTTAAAGCAGGAGGATGACTCCAGCAGGGAGGAAAAAAACACAGTGAGAAGAGACGTTGGGTTCACCCTGCAAAGACACAAACACATCTATGAGCACAGGCTGGAAAGGATCAAGAGGAACAGTGACAGTGGTAGTAAAGTAACACCACCTGTGTGGCATGCTGCACCTTTTTCTTCATCTACATGAAATCACACTCTGCACTGCGAGCAGCTCTGCGAGGCTGCAACTAAAGTGGTCAGACATCAGACGTTTTCCTATATTTGAATTTTTATCATTCTCGCAGGAATGATAAAAATAAAGATGTTAGCTTTATACTGTTGTTGCAGGGGTGGATGCTGATGGACAGCACTTGTGAGTCCAAAGTTCAGGTTCAGTTTCTGAATGTTTTATTTTCAAATCTCGGCTCTCGTCTAACTCACAGAAGAGACGACACCAGCTGCTGTTCAATTTTCTTTTTTGTCTTTTCCCTAAAACAAATATTTCATACGACTTAAAATCGCAACAATAAAAGCACATGCCTACACCTCACCACTCTATGAGCCCTGAAGGTGTCCTGTGTTATCAGACCCCAGATGGTAGCAGCAGATCTTTAGGGCCTGAAGTGATCAGAAGCCTCCAGAGATCTGACTAGAGCTTTCATGCACATGACATTGTGGTTTTCTACTTGTCCTTCTCTATAGTGCTTTGATAGATATTAAGGGCAAGAAAAAATGGTTGCCTATTGCCTGTTGCTGGGCCGTGTCACGTTTGAAAACGGGACAGTGCAGTGTTACATCCTGGTCTAGGGGTACTGGAACGCAACATAAGGTTTATAAGGAAAATGACCCTCATCCCCAAAACCATACCCAGAAGCTGATTTACAAGTGAAAGGTGGTTTATTGTGTCTAAACTGAAGCTTAACTTAACTTAAGCTTCAGTTTAGACACATCAGCTTCTGGGTACGGTGTTGGGGACCAGGGCGGGGTCATTTTCCTTATAAACCTTATGTTGTGTTCCAGTACCCCTAGACCAGGGAGTAACATGCAGTGAACAAAGTATTAGTTATTACTAATAGGGGGTGTGGTAAAAGGCACGCCTTGTGGTGAAAACCTTTTGGAGTAGGTAACTATAAAGCATTTCTTTAACTCCACAAGAGCTGGCATTCTGGAAAGATCCACAGCCTTACAATTTATACATATCAGAGTTGCTGCCTTTCATGTTTCAAACACATCAACTTTAAGAAATAACTGTTCACTTGGAACTTGATCTAACATAAGATAAGATGATGATGTGCTAGATGATTGGCACATAAAAGGGTCATTTTAAACTGGACTTCCTGTAGAATCAGTATAATCAGCAGGTCTCCTGTTGTGTCACATGCAGTTTGGATATTTCAGCACAAGCCACAAGAAGCTGGGGTTTTAAATGCAAGAGAAACGGTCACCAGCTAACTGTTCGAGTCAGGTGACGAGAGCCCTGTGTGGCACAGTACCTCTGTAGCGTGGCTCCATGTGGTAGCTGTAACGTTGATTAATGCAGTAAATACCTGCACAAAGAAAAGAAAGACCACGAGATTTATATGATTATCATAAAGAACATTGCTAAAAATCCTCTTAAAAATCTATTTATACGCATGAAATTTTTATAGTTCTTGACATTTTAGATGCTCTATAAATGTACAGGGAGTGCAGAATTATTAGGCAAGTTGTATTTCTGAGGAATAATTTTATTATTGAACAACAACCATGTTCTCAATGAACCCAAAAAACTCATTAATATCAAAGCTGAATGTTTTTGGAAGTAGTTTTTAGTTTGTTTTTAGTTTTAGCTATTTTAGGGGGATATCTGTGTGTGCAGGTGACTATTACTGTGCATAATTATTAGGCAACTTAACAAAAAACAAAAATATACCCATTTCAATTATTTATTTTTACCAGTGAAACCAATATAACATCTCCACATTCACAAATATACATTTCTGACATTCAAAAACAAAACAAAAACAAATCAGCGACCAATATAGCCACCTTTCTTTGCAAGGACACTCAAAAGCCTGCCATCCATGGATTCTGTCAGTGTTTTGATCTGTTCACCATCAACATTGCGTGCAGCAGCAACCACAGCCTCCCAGACACTGTTCAGAGAGGTGTACTGTTTTCCCTCCTTGTAAATCTCACATTTGATGATGGACCACAGGTACAAAGATATTTCACATTTTGAAACCTGTTTAACATATTGACACATTTTAGAAAATCTGCTGAAAGATTCAGCGGAGAAATCTCCAAAAAAGAATATTCAATAATCATGATCTTTGATGGTTTAGAAAGCACTGCATTAAAACATCCATCACTGCTCAGAAATACTTCTGATACTTATTATTGGTGAACATCAACGCATTCATAAATACAAGCTAAAATTCTACCAAATGCCAAAAATGCCAGCATGGATAATTAGAGGCTGTGTGGTGAATCAAAAATCCTAAATACTTGGAAATCAGTGACACCATAAAAAGAGCAAAGGGAATGTCTGTCTTATCAGCACAGATTTGATCACTGTCCATGAGCTTATGTAGAGTCCATTTGTGCACATCGCATGGGAAACTTTCACCTTCCATGGCAAATGATACTTAAGTGTAAACTTGGTTCATATTGGAGCAACAAACAAACAAACAGGCTTTAATCAGTTTACTCAGATTTGCTTCTACAGCATCCTGATGGCATCATGTAGCAATCAATGTCTTTATTTTTGTCACCAACAATTTTTATTTATTTCATTTTAAACTTCAATAACAGAACTTAAGGATAACTAAATAAATAAATAGTTTAAAAAACAAACAAACAAAAACAAAAAAAAACCAAAACAAAGGGAAGTTATCCTATTCTTTCTTCGCACACCAATCCCCACACCACCACCCTGTCATTACTCCTGTTCTTCAAGTTACAGAAAGCCAGCTTGTAAAGGGGACCAAATACAATCATATTGATGCAATTTGTCTAATAAACCATAAGTCACTTTTTCGTAAGACGCCAACTTAGCCATTGTCTTTAGCCACTCTTCATAGGGAGGGGGACTCTTTTTCCGCCAATGTCTTAGCAGCACCTGTTTGGCCGTAGTGAGAGCCAGAATAATCCATCTTTTTGTATAACTGGAAAAATCTCCATCAGAAAGTTCTGTGGTTATACCAAGTATGGACAGTTTTGGTGAGATACCAAATCTCCTTTTTAAAACACTGAAAATTACCTCCATTATATTTTCCCACCAATCCTGAAGTGCCGAACAGCTCCATAAGATACGTAAAATCGAAGCGTTTTGACCATCACATCTCCAACATTCGTCCGTAGAGGCCAGGTTCCATTTATACAATTGTTGCAGTGTTCGATGCCACCTATGGACTATCTTAAGTTGAATAAATCTACTGCCTGTTTCTTTATACGTAGTACTAACATTTTGAAAACATGAATCCCGTTCAACTGAAGATATGTCCAATGCCACGTCCTGGGCCCAGTAGCCCTTAACTTTCAGGAGAGGGTCAACTGACCGTTCTTGCAATAAGTGATAAATCTTTGCGGTGATGCCTTTACCCAAGGATGATCTTGAGAGCAGGACTTCCACAGGGCCGCCCACAGGACAACTCAAGGGGGTTCCCAGCCACTTCGATAATGAACTATGTATTTGGACATATCTGCAGAACTGATTACGCTTCAACTTATATAACTCCACAATTTTATCAAAGCTTAAAAAACATTTAGTCCCACAGTCAAATAAATCTGATACATTAAGGATGCCTGCTTTACGCCACTGTAACCAGTCAACCGATGTCCCTCCAATTAGAATTCTTTTATTCCCTCATAAGGTTGCCGAAGGTGATTTAATAAAGTCCCAGCGACCTGCCCTATGTAATTTACACCACAATGTCTTTGCATTTGCAATTATAGGATATGGGACCAGATGGGTTTAACTGGTGCAGTAGGTAACCAAGCTCTAAGTTGTTTCACGTTCATCACCCAATAATACCATTGGAAATTAGGCAATGAAAAACCTCCTGGTTTTGCACTCGCTTGAAGTTTCTTAATACTTAAACGATGCGGTGAGCTACCCCAAAGAAAGTGCCGGATTAAAAAGTCCAGATCTTGGAAATACTTATCTGGAATGTGTAATGGAATATTGGATAAAATATAAAAGATCATGGGTGCAGTCATCATCTTAATACAACTAATTTTACCCCATATTGTGAGACGCACTCTGGACCATCTACCAAATTCCATTTTTATTCTTTCAAACATTGGCTTCATATTTGCTTCTTAGTGTAATCCGAGGGAATTTGTATCCCCAAATACCTCAAACCATTCACGGACCACCGAAACTCCCGCTGTTTAAATAAAGTATGGGGGCAGTGTCCTGACATAGGCATTGCCTCTGATTTATCCCAGTTGAGGCGATACCCTGAAAGCAGCATAAAGCTTTCTATACATTCTAATAGGGCTGGAACTGACTTCCCAGGCTGGGTCATAAGTAACAACATATCATCTGCATATAATAGAAGCTTATGTTGACTATTACCCATCGAAATTCCAAATATATTTACATTATTTCTCAGTTTTTGTGCCAGAGGCTCTATAGCAATTAGAAAGAGCCCAGGGCTAAGGGGACAGCCCTGTCTTGTGGATCTCTGTAAAAGGAATAGGTCTGATATGAGCCCATTCGTCAATACTCGCACTGAAGGCGAATCACATAATATCTTTATCCACCTGATGAAATTATCACTAAAACCAAACTTTTCTAATGTCTTAAACAGATAATCCTTCTCAACACAATCAAAAGCTTTTGCAGCATCCAGCGACAGGGCCACTGTTGGATATACTGAGTCATATACATAATTTTGCAAATTAACCAACCGCCTAATATTATCTGAACTCAACTGGCTAAGAACAGTGGGTCATAAAACGAGGCTGAAGGTGCAGAAAAGACTGACCGAGCTCACTGAGGTTGCAGTAGGCGCCCCACTCTGGAGCGCTGTTCCTGTGTTGCTTCTTTGTCTTCATCTGGAAATTTCACAAAGACACATTAAAGGTAAAAAACAAACAAGACATCTTATTAAAGAATGTTTCAGAAAAACTGTCTCGATCTTAAAAATGAACACTTCTATCAGCTGTAGACAGGATGATGTAACAGGGTACAAACATTCAAATTCAGCTGTAAATCAGTGTGTTGAGAGTATATACTGTAGAGTGAAATGGGTTTGTTTTTGAAGAAAATAAATTTAAAAAGAAAGTCCTTTTTTTCTTGAAGGGAACCATAAATGTGGAACAGCAAAAACTCATATAGTCCTGTGTGAAAATTAAGCACACGACCCATGACTCAATAGCCTGAAGAACCACTCTTAGCAGAAATAACGCAGTAAGCGTCTTCTGTATGATTTTATCAGTCTGTCACATCCCTGTGGGGGGATTTCGTCCCACTCGTCTTTGCAAAACTGCTTTAAATTATTGAGGTTTGCAGGCATTTGTTATGCACAGCATAAGATCCTTCCACAGCATTTCAATCAGGTTGGTGTTTGGACTTCCTGCAGCTTTTCTGGTATGCTTGAGTAACGGGGTTTTGACTGTTGGACAGATGGCTTCACATTTCACTCTAGTACACATACTTTGTATATGTTGGGTTCTTTCTATTTTTATTTTCTTCAGCAGTTTGCACAGTCTGACCTTGGGACCAGCAAAGTGCTTTTGATTTTATAGAGGTGATCACATTTGACTGGATATGATGCTGTTGTGCTTTCTTTCTGTTGTATCAGCTTTTTAGAGTTTGACAGTAAGATCTGTACTGAGGGCAATTTAGTTCAGGTGGGATTAAAAACGTCACATTAAGCTGGAGTTTCTTAGACTGAGATGTGGCAAAGGAAAGAAAAAGACAAAACAAATTGCACTGAAAATTTGGTCACCAATAAAAAGTTAAATCTTTATGGATTAACACTGGGTTGCTTTTTTCCCCTTAATAAATGAAATGATCATTTAAAAACTGCATTTTTATTTACTCAGCTTATCTTTGTCTATGATTAAAATGTGTGACAAATATCCAAAAAGTAAGAAATCAGGAAGGGGGCAAATATTTTTTACACAGATACCCATTAGCAAAAAAGTCTTTCTTCCTGCTAAATCATCCAACTTTGCTTCTATGTACCTGACCTACAGAGGTTAGCCTCAAAGCAGCACAGCCTAAGGAATACCTTTGAATTGTTTGTTTTCTTTTAAATAAAGACAGTTAATTGCTACGAGGAGGTACTAATCAGTTTGCGTTTTTCTAATTTGGGTGAACTGAACCTTAAAGTAGAAACTTATTTGTTGTATAACAAAAAAAATTGGAGTATATTTATTAGCAGCCCCTCATTAAACAAACTCTTAAAGCTTTCTGAGGGCAAAATATAAAAGGTTTTTGAACCCACCTTGGCGAAACTCCTCTTATCTGGCTTGGCATAGTGTGTGGCATAGGTGCAGGACCCCAGGGTGCGGTAGCTGGGGTTGGAGAAGCAGCCACCTAAAGAGCTGCTACTGGGAGAGGACTCTGAAGAAGAAAGCAGGCCTGTGCACTGCAGCCCTGCTGCCCCAACATCAAGACATGTTCTCACATACTGAGCTCTATGTGTCATACATGCATATATATGTACAGTGCACCTGATACAAAGTATTTAACCTTTAATTTAATCACCCAGATCTGAAAAAACGGATCATTCATTGTCTTTACCTGTTGGTTGTGTAATTTCCCAGCAGGTTACGATTACCATCAACTGCTCTGAATTCTGTTGTATGCCATTCTAAACATAAATAACACCAGTCAGATGAAAAGGACAGACACACGGATATCGTACCTGAGAGGGAGTAGTCAGTGGAGCTGATGTTCAGGGCAGGTGTATAGGTGACACTAGGCACACGGTGGCCTTTCTCTCTTTGTCGATAACGGAACCAGACCACCAGAGCAAGCATGGCCATGATCATCAGCAGCAGGAAGACGATGCCCAGGACAGCCCCCGTCGACTGCCGCTGCGATGCCAGAGCTGGGCTCATCTTGGTGTAGGGGTTCAGCTCCTCCATCATCAAGGCCGCTGAGGAGAACACAGATGAGTAACACTGCATTTTAATGTTTGACACACTCACATCACCTGTACAGTGTAATCAGGCATTTTTTGCTGAATGAGAATTTCAGAATAAAATTCCTCTCATTTCACTGAATTTATTGTGCTATTGACTTTTATTTTGGTATTTTGCCATGATACAAATGCATGTATCTACAAAGGACAGATAATGAAAGGCAAACAGTTAAGGAGTAGGGTGGGGTGATACCGCCAAACTGGCGGAGTCTGCAGTGACACGGGTTCCATAATCTTCTTTGGAGGTAAACAGAGAGCTGAGCACGAATATGAAGCTGTTGAACTACTTTTGGTAACCGAGTCAAGCATTCAGTCATCGCCAGATGCTCGCGGCTGCCATCTAGTGTGGATTCTGGTTTGATGCCTTGTATTAATCCCTCCCTCTGTGCAGATCTTGTGTATGCCCTTGGAAGCTTGCAATACCATGGCTGTGTCCCAATTAAGAGACTGCACGCTTGAAGTATGCGCACTACGCGTACTACGTACGGTGCGTACTATAAGTACAAGAAGTGTGGAAGTGAGAGGCTTGTGAAATGGGACGGCATACACTTCCTCGCGCTGTTCAGGTTGCCTAGCAACCATGATACTAACCGCGAGACACGTTTCATACAGCTTTGTTTGACAGAAATGAAGGAGAAAAATGTTTTGTTGGTCATTCATTTTTGTCATGACATCACTTTAGCTGAGTATCTGAGGCTGAGACCACAGGACTGTAAAACATGATTGTTGGGCTTCATGTCTGTGCTGAACAGTCATTTAAGATTAGTTAGTAAATAAGATTAGCTAGTAAAGAAAAATTAGCTCATGTTGTTCATGAGACTAAAGTCATCTCACTGTGGCAATGTAAATATAATATGGCCAATATTATAGTATTGTCAGATTATTACGATATATATATATATACACACATATACATATATCACTGACTTTCAGCTTGTTGTGTTTGTGGATATATGACTGACTTTAATTATTACACATTCGCACATAAATAAGTGACGTCATATTCAGTACTTTAGTTCACTCTTCGGCCACTCCATCTTATTAGGGAAATGCCACATACATAAATGTAAATTTCAAAACTCAACCCCTTCATTTAATTTGTTTTTGATTGAAATTGAATATTACTTAAACTCTCTTAAATTAACTTCCAATAAAAAAGGTTTATCATTGATTGAAGTTCATTCAGAAATGTTTAACAAATGAGCTGTCACAACTTTCAAATACAAAGTTGTTATGGAGTCTGTCACATTCCCCCTTTTTTCTTTTTTTATCCTTTATTTATTTATCCTTCTTATTTCATTGTGCTGTATATTGTTACTCTTATTTGCCTTGTATGTCTACTGTACAAACTGAACTGGAATGACTGACTGTTCGCTTTATGATTTCAATAAAGTTTGAAAAAAAAAGAAAGAAAAGAAAAATCTCTTCGGCCGCTCCCTTTTGCCGTATTTTGCAGCAAAATTATCCACACCCACCGCCGCGCTATGAATTGTGGGATATATGGGACCACGAAGCGTGCACCGGACCACGCTTGATATTTGGGGAAATCGACGGAGTATGCATTTGAAGCACACTTCGAATTGGGACAGCCGTCGTCACGTGGCGGTGACGTAACCGCACTTGAAATGCGTACTTCAAGCGTGCAGTCTCTTAATTGGGACACAGCCCATGACCGCACACTCTTGGAAGTCAAACTGACGACTCTGGTGCTCTTTGCTTGGGTGATCATGCAGCTGCTTAAGAGTATGTATTCTGTATTTACAGTCTTGCATGTCATTATTTTTGTTTCCACTTCATTTCATTTGGAGTATTTAAGAATTGCATATTTAGTATATTTTTATTTGCTACTGTGTTTCCCCTTTAACCAAAATAGTACAGTTATTCAATCTGCAGTCATTGTAGTGGTTTATACATTTACTTGGCAAGTGAATGGTTGCTGGTTCAGCTAAAGACCATTAATATTTTTTATCAGAGTACCATTTGCACTTGTCTGTCTATTCGAGAGGTCTTTGTACTTCCATCTTTTAGGAACAGTCTTATCTACTATTATATGAAGATTTGTCTGTATGAGTTTTGCAGATGTTCTGTTATTTTATATTTTATTATTCAACTGAACTGAGGGTACATCTAAAGAAACCAAAAGAATAAGTCAGATCATGTTCCATCCTTTCTCTTTACAGAGCCATTTGTTCTCACCCTGGTCACAACGGATGCCTTTAAAGCCGATGCTGCAGTAGCAGGTTCCGGTCACGTAGTCACAGGTGGCATTGTTCATACACTCACACAGCTGCTGGCAGCCGTAGCCAAATGTCCCTGCGGGACACTCTGGACACAGGAACAGGGATTTAAGACATGTTGAACTTTAACATGTGAATGTGCAACGCTCCTGCATGTAAGAACCACTAAACACACTCACTGAGCTCACAGCTGTGTCCTATAAAGCCTGTCCTGCAGGAGCACTGTCCCGTGATGTGGTCACAGTCTGCTCCATTCTGACAGCGACACACCTCAGCACAGTGAGAGCCGTAGAAACCTGCAGGACAGCCTGAAGGGAAACAACCACTGGTTTAAAAAAAATCTATATTATGCTTTACATGTGGACAAGAATTTTCAGTAGCAGCAGCAATTTCACTCTGTCACTCTGAACCCATCTCTGTGCAGAGACATGATCAAAAACGTGAAATGTCTTTGGAAGCATTTTCTCTGGGACGAGCTAATCACTTCTGTCACAGTGGAACCAAAGTGGAAATTCAACAAAACCCTCATTTCATGCAGATGTTTAACTGACCACACTCTCTCATGTAAATTTCTGGTGATGCAAAAACATGGAGAAACAGCTCCTATAGCAGACAAATCAAATGACATGACAGAAAACAAACTTGGCTGGTTCTAGGCTAGAACTGATACTAGTCAAAAGAAAATAACATACGGATTTGGATCCGTTTTTTTCTTTTGTGCGTCAAGCAAATGTACAGATACATGGTTACTGTGACTTATCAACTTTATAAACGCAGGACCACAGACTGAAAAATGAAGTAAACATGGAAGAGCATAAAAAAGATGTTCTTTACATGGCCTTACAGCATGGAGTAACAATGTGTGGGAGTGTCGTTCAATTCAATGTCTTTTAATACATTTTAATACATCAATTTTTAATATAGCGCCAAATCAGAGCAGCAGTTGCTTTAAGGCATTTTATATTGTAAGGTACCCTGCAATAACACAGACAAAACAGAAAACCCAACAACCTCCTATGAGCAAGTGCTTTGGTGACAGCTGGAAGGAAAAACTCCCTTTTAACAGGAAGAAACCTCCAGGTGGGGTGGCCATCTGCTGAAGGCGAGGAGAGGAAGACGGGGCAAAAACACATCGTGGAAGAGAACAAGAAATTGATAATAAGTAATGATTAAATGCAGAGTGGTGTGAAAAAAAGAGGTAAGTGAAGAACAAATACTTTTTATCAAAAAGAAAAGTTTTAAGGCCAATCTCAAAAGTACAGAGAGGGTGTCCATGACTCGAATCGAAACTAGGAGGGGGTTCCACAGCAGAGTGGAAGCTGAAGGCTGCCAGGAGACTGTTTATTGTGTGCATTGAAAGACGTTGGTCAAAAAGTCCTCAAAGTGTTCCTGGAGACCAGGGTGATTCTAGCTTTGCAGAGGTTTTTTCTTTTTGCTTTGTTTTACAGGACAAAAACGTTTTTTTCAGGTTAAACAAAAATGTTCTAAATTAGTTAGATGCCGTCTCTTCTCCAGCTTACGAGTTATCTGCTTTAAGGTACGCATTAGTCAGGGGAAGAGGACGACTGCAGGTGATGGCTGTGGCACACACATCCGTTGTTTCAAAAGAGAGCATTAGGTGTTAGGCTGATGAGATTCTTTGGAGTAACACATACAAACTAGGACACATTAATACTGAAGCTGCAAGTTGCAAGTGTTCATAGTCCAATGCAAACAAAGTTAATTACAACTTTGTTTGATTGTTAACCACATTTTCTCAAAGTGACCTGCTTCGTTTGTTATATCTAATTTTCTGTAGGTGTAACACATGTTCTAATTCTAAAGATTTGAGGTGTCTCAGGGGTCTTCCAGTTTTTCTCGCTAACAGCATTGATAAGGAAATGAATGGCCTGAGCATTATAATGACCACTTACACTGTTTGAATCAACCCAGAATTAGGGCTGTTCGATATAACGATATATATGGATGACGATATAAAAACGTCTATCGTTTCATTTTACGCTATCGTTTGTTTCGTGGTGTCGCAAAATAAACTGTTTACGGCAAAATTTCTTCATGGTTCTGATGTCACTGTAGTAAAGTTCTCTCTCTCTTATATTTAATATAACCACACTACGGACAGACAAGCACCTGTTTTTATGCGTTGTCGTTAGCAACAACGACGGTAACAGCATGACGTGTCCGCTTGTTTATGTTCCACATAAACCTTTCACAATAAAGCTCAAGATCCTGTTGAGACTTTTCAAAATAAACTGAATCACGTGAAAGAGCAGATTTTTAGAATTTAAAAAAGAGCCGCCAGGTGCTAAAAAATAAAGCTTAGACGCAAACGTTAGAGCAGGCTTTTCCCCGCAGCACGCCGTGTAATAAATACTCACAAAGAAAACGGCGCCGTTACAACTTCTATCTAAAAATGTGTCGTTTCATGCATCGTTAAAACACTCGACTCCAGCTACACGAGCTGGAAACACTTCACACAAGACGAGCTGCATTTAACATTTGACGGATAAGGTGTGCCAATAATGTGCTATATGCATTATAAAATGGACTGCTGCCTTTGTCCAGTGGCTTCTAAATCCACCACTGCCATATCGACCAGTTTAGAAAATTTACTCTTCCCTAAAAAAAAAAGAAAAGACAGAAAATGTCTACAGAGGCCTGACTGACAGAGAGGGGTTTGCTCATGAGCTTCAAAACACCTATTTGTGGTCTTTCTGTGTGGCCATCTTCATGATGACCTCCCTATTTTGGGGATAATGCTGCCCAACAGTGAGGGGCCAAGAACATCCTACCGCAAGAGGTTTAGGGGCCAAGGAGTGATGTGCTCTTTCCACCAAACTCATTTCCCCTGAAAGTATTCAGACCCCAGCAGGAGATGGAAGATAATCTGAGATGAACGCAGTAGGCTTTCTTTTCTCTGTACCTTCTGGAATCCTCATCATATTAATGTTCTGATGCCTCAAGCAAGATTCGAAATCTGCCAGTTTCTTTTTTTTAAATATATATATATTTTTAAAAACTATTTGGTAACAGATCTGTAACAGGACTGAAACAGAAAACAAAGCTTTAGAGAGGGTCTCAGCTCTCTGTGCAAGTTACTGTGAAAGAGTGTGAGAAGAGAAAATTGTAACAATTTAAAAATAACATTTCTCAGCATAAAATTAAAAAAAGATTTGGTTATTTCATCTTCTACAGTCCATAATATTGTGAAAGGTCTGTGAGTCTTTGGACACTTTGTATTGTAGCCTCCAATTCTACTTTAAAATGTCCTTTGAACCACAAGTAAACCAGCAGCCTGAGAGCGAAGTGCTCCATCGGGGGGATTTGTTTCCCCTGCACAAACAGATTTCTCCAGATTCACAGAATCTTCAAATCAAATCAAATCAAATCACTTTTATTGTCACATCACATGTGCAGGTACATTGGTACAGCACATGTGAGTGAAATTCTTGTGTGCGAGCTTCACAAGCAACAGAGTTGTGCAAAATACAATAATGTAAACAAGCAAAATACAAGAATGGCTACATCTGAAACTAATAAATATATGTACAATATATAATAGTATATGCATTTCTGGATGTGTATACTAAGTATTTTTCTACGTGTGTGTGTGTGTGTGTGTGTGTGTGTGTACACACATATTTTACAAATTAAATAGAGTAAACAATAAATAAAATATATAAAAATATACAGAGTTGAATATGTGCAAAACAGTGGCGTTACTGTACAGTATGGAGTGCATAATGTTGAAGTTCCAGTAGTGAAGCTGAGGTGTCTATGACGTGTTCAGCAGTCTGATGGCCTGGTGGAAGAAGCTGTCTCTCAGTCTGCTGGTACTTTGAAATATTCAAAGTTTTTGATATTTTACATTATTTTTTTTGCAAACTGGTAAACCCCTGCCGATCTTTCCTTGTGAGAAATTCTACTAGATGCTGTTTTTATATTTATATTTTTTTAGTATCACTTATGTTTCCTGTTTTTGTTGTTGGCGCTGTCCCCACTGAGACATGCTCACAACATTAAACTCAAAATGAGCTAATATTTTTCATGAAATAGTAAACTGTTTTCCGTGTTTTAGTGTGAATAAAACATGGCTTTATGAGATGCATTCTCATAAAGCAATCTCACAACTTTTTTAGAATTGGATTTGTAGTTTTGTCTTTTTCTCCCTGCATTTTTCTTTTTCTCTTCTCTTTCCCTTCATCCTCCAACCTGTTGTGCAGACAGCTGTCCCTCCCTGTGCCTGATTTCTTCCCATCATCACTAAGTGGTCCTTAAGGGATCCTTGTAGGGGATCATCTGATTGTTGGAATTTTTTTCTCTAATAATTTAGGGTCGTTACCAAAGTACAGCACATGATTGATGAAAGATGTCAAAGATAGCAGAGGCAATACTATTGCATGGACATATATGGCTATCAGTGGAACTGGGTCACTAGTGTGATGTTTCGTCACTCATCCAAGTGACTTTTTCAGTCTCAGCTGACTGCAAGTTACGTAAAAAGGGAAAGACCATCTCTGAATCGAGGAGGGGGCCTAAGGCTACATCTTTCACCAACTTACAATGCTGTGATTGCAGCCAGTGAATGGTACTCATTGCCATTGGTGGGCTTTGATCTTACATTTGCATAATTCAGGGTTCATCAGCATTTTTCAGGGTCAAATTTAAGCACTTTTTAAGCACTTTCAAGGTCCATTATCAAGCTTTTCCAGCACATTACCAAAAACAGTTTGCATGTTTCACTTTGCATCACCTCAGTAAGACCATGTAAAAATTAAAACAAATCGTCTTAGGTTGACTTAAATGTTCTTTGTTCCTCTTTTGTTAAAACAGAGAAAAATGCACCACACAAAAATACTGAAAAAGGAAATGGTTGTCTTATATGCATATAGTGCACAAACTCAAAAAACTCATTTCTCTCAAAAATGCAGATGTGCAAATGTGAACAAATCAACTTGTTAGAGATGCTCATCTCCACTTGGAAAAAACAACCACACAAAAGAAGAAATCTGCACAAATGAACAAGTCTGCTCATCAGATATTGATGCTTCTTTCCTACGGGACACAACAACAGGAGACAGATGTTTACTTTAACTAGTTAAGCAAGTTTGATAGCTAGCAAAATAATAATCATAGTTTTAAACATTAGCCTGTGTTATGTACACATACTCGAAATTATTTACTAGGACTCACCTATCATGTGACTCAAATCCCGCCAGTGTCGTTTTCCATCAAACACTCATTAAAACAACAACGTCAACTTAGCGCACTCACCCCCGACTGTCCGGAGGGAGGGGCGGGGTCACACATTGAAACAGACTGACATGTGTGCGAGGCAGCCCAGGCGGAGAAATTTAGCTTTTACACTTTGCAACTCATTTTATTTCTCTGATAAGAAAACTATTCAGTCAGATAGTTGTTTGTGGTGAATGAAATATGGTTTCAAGCACGTTTAAGCACCACATCTGAAATTCAAGCACTTTTCAATCCTTGAAAAGACAATATTAAAATTCAAGCATTTTCAAGGATTTCAAGCACCCATACGAATCGTGATAATTATGATCAAGGAACTGACCTCCCAGCCCATCGTTCCTTCGGTGGTGCTAGTTTCAGTCATTATGCAAAGATCGGGGAAACCTGCAGTCAGCTGAGACTGAACAGAATCAACTTTTGGAGGTTCACTGATGATGTGACTGCTCATAGAAATAGCAGGATGAGTTATCAAGTGAACGAGGCTATCAGCTTCAGTCAAATACTCCAAATTGGACAGCAATTTGCAGTGCAAATGGAGAAATTCAATCTTTTTACGTGTTGAAACTAGAAACCACAAAGGAATTGAGGAGATAAGAAGAAGGGATTTCAAGGGTATGCAGTTTTTTCACCTGTCACTAGATGGAGTTAAAGGTTTGAGGTACTAACACATTGCAACTAGTGAGTGTGCATTAGTGATGAGCTCTCACAGCAGCCAGAGTGTTTTGCTTGGTCTGTATGTGTATATGAACTGCCGGTGTGTGTGAGAGAGACAGAAACATACGCTGAGTGCAGTAGAGTCCTGTCCATCCAGGGCTGCAGATACACTCTCCATCTGTAGCGCTGCACTGAGCTCCATTGTGACAGTTACATGTGTGGATGCAGTCAAGGCCCCATGAGCCCCAAGGACATGCTGCCAGAAGCACACAAAAATAAGTGCACAAAGACACATACAGTGCACAGAGTATGCAATAAAAGTCAGCACACTCTTGTACAGCAACACTATAATGCCCCATCACAGCAAGTCAACGTGTCGTTACTAGGATTCACTTCTGCACATGGGCACTTTATTCTCTCCTCTTTTTTCTCTTTTATTCAATTCATCTAGACACGTATAAGTCTAGTAATATATAAATACATAATAATATGTCAAATGTTGCCACAGTGAAGACCAGACATACATTAGGATGCTGTGTGCCCTCATTAAACTTACAGATAATTGAGTGACTGTGGTAGATGCTCAAAGTAAGAAAGATAATTAATGTCAAAGCCACTCCAGTGACTGCCTTTAGGAAGGTTTTTTCTTCAGCTGTCTCTCACTGATCAACTAAAACACGTGGGGTGAATAACAACATACATTTTATTTGTTCTTTTGTGAAACTGAAGTTAATAAATGCTACGGTACAAAAACGGCTATAAACGTTTCCTCTTACGCTTAGAACAGTCTTCGCTGGTCCATCCAGGGTAACACTGACAGGAGCCATCGATGGGGTTACAAGTGCCATTATTAGTGCACAAGCAGGTCTCGGCACAGGCTTTACCAAACTTTCTGCTGGGACATACTGTGGAGACACATGCACAGACATGATGGGTTCATATTAGATTAAAAGCAATATTCTGCCAATACTATTAACACAACCTCCTTGTATTTTGGATGTATTTGGATGTAGTTCAACAGTTTGACAGCAGACAGACAACAGCAAATAGAAGATAACTGGTTCAGATATCTGTTCCTGTTGTTTTTCATAATTCATTTGCTCAGCTTCTACCCATATGCCGCGAGTATGTCAAGAATGCTGAACATTCGAATCATCTCCTGTGAGATCACAAGGACGCGAGCAAAACTGCGTGTTTTTACCAAAAGAAAGTGGAAGTCTGGTGGATTTCAGTCCTGGTTAAAATGATGACACGTGTAGTAACTGGTGGTGCAAATGCAGTGTATTACTAATTGATACTTTTAATAAAGAAGCCGGGAAAAAAGTTCCTCTGTAGATTTAGCACGGTCAGTCTCTTCATGCAGTCCAAGAAACAGTGCACGACGCTGCCCTCAGGGCTCTCCCTGACCCGATCATCAGTTGCAGTACAAACGATGATTCGTCATGGCCCTCTTATTTACATGTTTCTGTTTCTGGACACATACTTAGAAGTACTTCAGTATTCAGCTCTTCAGTATACCCATGAGTGAAGAAGACAAGTAGATTGTTCTGATACTGTAGAAATAATACAGAAAGAAAAAAATACTCAGAAAAGTTCTGAGAATTTCAAATTCTGACATCCCTGACAAAGTAGACCAGTTCCCAAACTTTGCACAGTGCTGTACAAAGCAAAGCCTGTACAACATTCTTATACAATATACACACAATATACAAGAAAAGATCCAAAGTACATATTTTATAAACACTACAACAAAAAAATATTCATTCATAATTTAAACATTCTTCATGATGGAAAAAAGACACAAAAAACTGAATAGAAACAAGAAATATTGAGGGAAGAATAAAGGGGCCAAATATACTTGGAAAATACAAGTGTGTGCGCCCAAAGGTAGATACTAAAAGGGAGAATGTGGATATGATCAATGAGAATTAAAAATCTAATTTCACACAAAAGAAAACATAGGTTATCCAAACTGGGCAACGATGACCTTCTGCTTCACTTAAATGTTCAGTACAAAATGATACTGTTAATTTCACTTTGTGCTTGTTTTTAATTTGATGGGAATTCCCATTCCAACACTTTCAAAGCGTTTTACTGCTGCTATGAGTTTGGACATGAAAAAGAACATCTCTAAAGCCCGAATGCTGGAACAAGCTTTATCCAAAACTGGTTGCTTTTGCTGACAATGGAGGTTTTGGATGCTATCAAATCCTATTTCTCAAGCTTTAAGTTTTCCATCTTCTTGATGTTGCTATCACTTGGTATTGATATCACTATCACTAGGGCCTTCTTCCTTTGTTTTTTCACCACTACAATGCCAGGTTGGTCAGCCATCACCAGTTTGTGTGTATATGGAAGTCCCACAGGATCTGAGCTCAGTTATTCCCGATCACCTTTGGGGGCTTATCCCATTTTGCCCCCGGAACTTCCAGGCCATACTCGGCACCCCCATATGTGCTTATTGTGAAGAATAAACCTGTGACCACAAGGAGTATTAGGAGGTATTTCCCTAGTGGAAATGCAGAGTTGCTCTGAGGCAACAGACTGGTAGGCGTTTTGTGAGCCCCACAGCGAGGAAATCAATTGGCCTACTGTGGAAGAGGTCATGCTGTAGCAAAGACGTCACATCCCAGCGGCACTGACTTCCCACATCACGAAGACCCTCGATCAGCTCCGACCTATAGTCAGGCCGCCTTCACTTTACTTACCAGCCCCACCTCATAGTGACGTCATCTACCTACTCCATCATGTCTTCACCAATTTGGACCAGCCAGCGAGCACCGTAAGGGTCATGTTTTTTTCCAGTGCATTCAACACTATCAGGCTGACCCTCCTAGCTCAACGACTCAAAGCGATGGATGGTGGATGCCCTTCTCGTGCCCTGGATTATAGACTGCCTGACAGGAAGGTCATAATATGTGTGTCTTCAACACTGTGTGGCTGACAAGGTTATCAGCAACACCGGGGAGCACAAGGGACGCTCCTCTCCCCTTTCCTATTCACCCTTTACATCACGGCACAGACACCTGCCATTTTCAGAAGTTTTCTGATGACTCTGCGGTAGTTGGATGAATAAGTGGAGGTGATGAAACAGACCACAGGGAATCAGTGGACATGTGGTGCAAGCAGAACCATCTGCAGCTCAATGTGACAAAGACCAATGAAATGATTGTGGTCCCCGTTTCCATCCATATAGTGGAGGACTATAAATAACTTGGAGTACACACTGACAACAAACTGGAGTGAGACAAAAACACTAGCCCTGTCTCTATTTTGTGAAATGGCTGAGGGGTTTTTTAACATCTGTTGGACAACGCTCAAGATTTTCGATGAGTCTGTTATGGCAACTGTGACACGCTGCTGCATGGCTGAGGGTTCAGATATCTATTCCTGTTGTTTTTCATAATTCATTTGCTCAGCTTCTACCCATATGCCGTGAGTATGTCAAGCTACCATTAGCAAGTATATGTAATATAGTATATATATATATATATATATATATACTACTATGACTACTATGGATCAAAGCATACAAAGAGCATATGATTAAGACCAGGAGAGTTCAGAGAGCATAACTTTCAGGAGAGGGACTGCTCACTATTTCCCTGTTGATCATCTATGAAATGAGCACACAATTAATTTTAATTATCTATGCTGTGGCTCTCTGGTGATGCCATTCTGTCCTTCTTTACAATAACTTGGTCCAGGGTGAAATGCCTGAGTGACTTCTTGAGGGATTATTCTGAAACTACAAAATGTACACATATTCATATTCCACACAAGAGTAATCCCCTGACAATATCCACCGAGTGCATTTTGTGAGGAACACGTGTAATTTCAAATGCATTGCCTTGTTACTTTTTATGTCAATGTCTGAGCAAGTAGTGATGATGTAGCAGTCAATAATATACTGAAATGTTACCAAAACTCTGTCCAGTGTTTTGAAATATTACATCAGACAATTCACATGCATTAGTCTATACAAGCTCAATTAAAAGGATTAAAGAACCTCTGCATCACTCTAGAAAGCTATTGTTTTTAATGACTCCTTTGGCTCTAACAAGGGAGCCCTGGTATCTGTGCATTGTATGTCATGTACTTTGTGCAGCAGCTGGAGGAGCAGCATACACTGTACACCTGGATATCAGTATAAAGACAACAAAGATGACTTTACAAAATACAAATATTGTGTATTGCATTTCCACTTGGATATGATCCGGATTGGAAGTTCGCGGATGACACCACAGTGGTTGGACTCATCTCAAGGGGGGAGGAGTCGGACTACAGAGATGAGGTCAACAGACTGACTGAGTGGTGTTCAGTTAACAACCTCCAACTGAACACCACGAAAACTAAAGAACTTATCTTGGACTTCAGGAAGGGCAGAGCAGACCCGGCCCCACTTTACATTCACGGGAGCTGTGTGGAGAGGGTGCACTCCATGAGGTTTCTGGGCGTGCAGATCTCTGATGACCTCTCCTGGACTGCAAATACTACAGCGGTGGTTAAAAAGGCCCAGCAGCGTCTCCACTTTCTGAGAGTGCTCAGGAGGAACAACCTGGAGGAGAGGCTGCTGGTGACATTTTACAGAGCCACCATAGAGAGCATCCTAACGTACGGCATAACAACATGGTATGCAGGGTGCTCAGCTGCGGACAGGAAAGTACTGCAGAGGGTCATCAACACAGCCCAGAAGATCACTGGCTGCTCTCTGCCCAGCCTGGAGGTCACTGCAAACTCTCGGTACCTCAGCAGAGCTGGCAATATCATCAAGGACCACTCTCACCCCAGCAACCAACTGTTTGAACTATTACCGTCAGGCCGACGGTACAGGTCACATAAAACCAGGACAAACAGATTCAGGGATAGCTTCTTTCCCAGAGCTATCACCGTAGTAAATAAGCACAAAAACAATTTAACCTATTCCATACCGTCACTGTCATCATATTAATGCTGCTATCCTGTATATATTGTACATACTATTGTTTGAGTACTCACGATTGTTTTTTTTGTACTTTTTATATTTTACATTTATATTTATTATTGAAACTTGCACCAAGGGAGTGGCACTCCAATTTCGTTGTACTCTGTACAATGACAATAAAGGCTATTCTATTCTATTCTATTCTATTCTATTCTATTCTATCCAAGAAAGACAGCTGAGAGACAAAGCTGATGACGAAAATCAAACAATCCCTGCTGATGAATAAATAAAAATAACAAGTCCTGCTGATGTTGACCTCTAGCTGCCAAGTTCAGCCAAATTCAGCATGATGAACCTTGTTTGGGGGGATAAAACTGCGTTCTGTTTTTGCCTACTGTTAGCTTTATTGTGTATACATATAGTATACAGACATAAGCTACCATTAGCAAGTATATGTAAGACAGCATAGACATACTACAAATTTCTATTTGTAACTGTTGAGGCCTTTACAGACTAAACAGAGGCTCAAAGATGTAGCACACCTCTGCACACCTCCCTCAGCTTGTTCCTCATCTGTGGGTGAATAACTGTTGCTATAATTCTGGACCAGGCCGTCTCACTTCTTCTCAGTAGTAAAGATTATTGTGGGAGACAAGGCGGTGGCAATAATAAGGTAGAAAATGAACAAAGGTTGTTAGAGTTTCTATTTATTGTTGTAAAGAAAGGGAGAGGTTTTTCATCCTATTCTCCACCTGCATGCGTTAAGCAAGCGTCTGCAGTCTTACAAGTTTAAGATGCTAACACTTTTGAATGGAGTTGACTAAAGATACTGGGTTACAACAACTGATCTAAAACTACACTGACTTACTTTCTTGGTAGAAGGGTCACCAAAGCAGGCATGTCCACATCTTTCATTTGGTACAGTTTCTTTTCTGATGCAACCAAAGGGGATTTATGCCAGTGGCTGGACTCAAACTGGCC